CTGATAGTAGCAGCTCATTTTAAGTGGAATGGTTTCACTAATTTCACCTATATCAACAATAGGGTTCAAGACATATCAGGAATCTTATGAGTCAACCTTTTTAATGCTTTATTTACTTACTTCCCTATCAGTCAGTATGAACTTGGAAAGTCTTATTACCAACAGGCAGGTAATAAGATTAAATGCTACCCTTGAGCTTCAGTCAGAACTTGTCTTTCTCTCAAGGGGCACATGACTTCATGTACTAACTCATTTGCCAGACTCTATCTATGTTGACTTGAGGCATGGCTCCAGATAGTGTAATCACCAACCAAACACAGCATAAACATCATACTTGACAAATTCCTTGAAGAATAATAATGAGGAGTCCTGTGCCACCTTAAAGATTAACAGATTTATTTGGGCATAAGCTTTTGTGACCAAAGACTCACGTATCAGATTCATCTTTGCCTACAAAAGCTTATGCCCAGATTAATCTGCTAGTCTTTACGGACCTCTTGTTGTTTTTGCGGATACAAACTAACACGGCTACCCCTCTGATATTTGGAGAGTAATTACTTTCTTGATGTGGTGGGTGTATTCACATCAGGTATGTGTGGGCATTCCCTTCCTACCATCCTTGCCAAACAAAATGATCATTACAGATGACTCGCTAAGACTGGGGAGCCCACATAGGCAACCATATGGCACAGAGCACTTGAGCACTCTTGAGAGACCAGGATACAAATCAACTGTCTGAAACTGGGGGAATCCAAAAAGCTTGCAAGGTGTTTCTACAGGTCATCTTGTCTCACCATGTCTTTGTAATGTTAGACAACATGAAAACCATCTTTTGCATCACATGGAGATGTGAGATCAGTCACTCTGTGGAACTGGTATATGAGAAATCAAATAACCCTGTGGCAACATATCTGCCAGGAACTCATAATATGTTGGCGGAGACCCTCAGCAGGCATCATGCTATCCATCATACATAGGAGCTGCATGATTCAATAGCAAACAGCTCATTGGGGACCCTCCCGCTGGGATCTGTTTATCTCTGAAATGAACAAAAAAAAGCAATCTATATTGCTGCAAAGGAGTTCTGGAACTATACTCTCTGATGATGCACTCGATCCATCCTCAGATTATCTCATCTATGCTTTTTCTCCCTTTTAAGAGAGATTTTTGTTTCACAAAACTCCTATGGCCGTCATTTCCTCCTCTGATTATCATCTAATACTTTCCTCATCTCTTGACACCAAGAGAAAGGGAAGCTCAAATGTCCCAATTCCAGAGCGTTTCATCTCATGGTTTGGCATTTAGTTAGCCATCATAACTGCAGAAAGGATTCCACTAGTAAACACTAATCAGCCAAGTGAAAGCATTTTCCATGTGAGCACAGAAGATAATGTATCTCCTGAGTCCTCGATATTCACCTCATTTTGTACTATTTTCTGTCACTCAAAACAACTGGGCTTTCCCTCATTTCTACACAGTCATATGGCAATAATCAATGTGTGCCTTCCACTATCAGATGGTTATTCAATTTTCGCTCATCCATTGACTCGCAAATTCTTAGAGTCTACTCCTAACTTTCTCACCAGTGAGGAAACCTTCTCTTCTTAGGATTCAAATCTTGTGCTTTTGGCACTCACTGAGCTTTCATTTAAGCAATTTAACTGTGTCTCAGTTATCAATTAAATTGCATTTCTTGTGATCGTTCCCTCAGCCAGAAGCATAGAGGTGGTGTGCGCAATAATGATGGATCCACTGTGTTCTATAAAGACAAAGTGTCTTTCATTCAAAATTTGCTCCTTAGTGCTTTTGGAGTTTCTCATGAAATTAGGGCCACAACCTCTTTTCAGTTCTTATCAATAGCTGATGATGGGTGAGCCTCAAAATGGTTACCTAATCTCCTGCCCCCGTTATGACATTTATGTAACATTTTGAGATCTCCTTTTTTCTCTGCATCACCTGCTCCATATCTCCTCCTTGTTCCCCAGCTCTTCCATCCTTTCTTTCATACTGTTCTGTTCAAAGACTCTGCTGCTTTTAATTCCTTCACCACTAAAGCCTCTGTATTCCTAATAATACAAACTTTCACTAACTTCAGTCTTGTCTTAAGTTTGAGCCAGTTATCTGCAGTAGACTTCAGTTAACTGGCAATATATGTTATTCCTAAAAGATAAAGTAATGTTTTTAATCAGAGTACACTGTGAGAAAAGTGCTCATGTAAATTCCCAGAATAGGCAAAAGATTAATAATTCTGAACCTGAAGCCCATTCTTTACCCAGCTCTTATCCTTCCCTGACTTTTCTGATTACTCACTTACTCTCATTAGTTTCCTTCAGACTTTCATGACTCCTATCCTCTATTAGTTCTTCTACCATTCCCAGTTTTTAGTGTGCCTTTACATGTGTCTTCCTCCAACTCTGTCTCGCTTACCACAGGTGTCCCCCAAGGCTCCATGTTTGATCCATGCATCTTTTCATTCCAATCTGTGTCTTTAGGTGGCACCAGCTTCTCACATCATCTACTGTCTAAACCAGCAACTCTGGACCTTCCTCATAATTCCTGATCTGTCTGTCTGTCTCTCCCTCCATTTAATGCTACATCTGTTACCAGTTTTGTGATATCTCTTCCTTGTATGGCTCATTGTCAAGTTAAATTTAACGCAACCAAAAACAAACTCTTCATGCTATTGTTTCTCTGGTGTTATTGACCACACTGGTCCTCCCTGTTAATTATGACTGGGTATTTTTGATTCTGTATTCGTGTTAGAACTACATATTTTAAGAAACTAAGTAGTTGTGGAGTGAGAGTTTTACCATAGATCAAAAATAGGCAAAGTATTGTCATAGATCAAAATCAGGAAGAAGAAGGAGACAGACAATAAAACTAAATGGACAATTTTAACTGTGGCTAAAGGTTAATGGTGGGGTTTTTGTAAGGCTCTATACTAGATCCCATGAAATATATTAATGATCTGGAAAAGGGTGGTATGAATAGTGAGGCAGCTACCTGTTTAGTTATATCAAGGCCACAGAGAACTTCAGAGACTTAACTAAAGTATATGAATGCATAGCTAAATGGCAAATAAAATTCTGTACTGATAAATGCAACATAATGAGGGGAAACATTTAAATTACCTCTTTGCTTCGTAGGGTTTTAAATACTAGTATAAACTCAAGAAAGGGACCGGGTTGATAGTCAAAACAGTTCAATGAAGGCCTCTCCTCATTGTGTGGCTGAATGCAGAAAAACAAACAAAATTGTCAGTTTCAAAAGGAATTGGATAGAGAACAGTATAATGGCATTATATAAAAATAGTGATGCAACCTCTTCGGGGAATAGTGCATATAGTACTGGTCATCCCATCTTAGAAGAGATATAACGGAATTATTGGGAGTTAAGTGAAGGGACATAAGTATGATTAAGGGCTGTGAAAAACTCATATGATGAGAGATTGAAAAGAATGGGAATGTGTAATCAGATTGTAGCATTTACCAGCCTCAGATGTCATTGAACCAAGGTTAAAAAAAAAGATTTAAATCATATGGTGAACAATAATATCAGAGTTGTTAAGCAAAACTTTTTAAAAATATATTTAGTTTTGTTATTCAGGGTGGATAAGAGATAATGTGAGGGGCAGCAAATTGTTTTAATTGCAGCCTTCTTATACCATCTCTTCTTGCTCTTTCTCTGTTGACAGTAACTGCCCTTGTTTGTCCTTAATGGGGGCATTTGTCCTGCCACGATACTTGCCACAAACAAGCTTGGTGATTCTGTACATGTTTCCTTGCTCCCTTCGATGAGCTGCATCTTCAGCTTTTGTTGCAAGGTCCTCCATGAAAGCTTGTTTGTCTGTGTGAAGTTATCATGAAGAGAAGAGACGCATCTTTAGTGCTTTGACTTTTTAAACCAAATTAGTTGCTGTTTGTTGTTAAACTGTGCTATGGTAGCATCCAGAGGTCCCGGTCAGGATGTGTGGCCCAGTTATGCTGTCCAAACAAATTGATAACAATTGTTTATTGATCATCATCATTAAGCCCTTTGCTCCCAGTCCAAAGATGGACTTTGAGCTAATTGATCAATATAATCATAAAATTGAAGACTTGGAGAATGCCTGGAACAAAACACTTTCATATATATCCATTAATTACTTATTGGGCAACTTTTAGCAAGTCAACCCAACGTAAAGACAGTCCATTCTCAGGCCAGCCAGTTATTTAAATCAATTATGAATCATTTTAAGTTAACTATTGCCAATATAAATCTACAGCTTTTACTGTTTATTTAAAATCACTATGGGGCTGTGTTAGATGATGTATTTCTCATGTGTTACAAGCAGTTTTTCAGCAAATCAGAATGCTGAGTAAGCCTGGCACACAATTCTGTTACGCTACTGAGAACTATCTTTTTCTTATCAAACGTGTTAAGAAGAAAAGGTTTAAATATTCAATAGGAAAATTTGGATCAGGTTGCTACTTACAGTGGTTGGGAATATGAGCAGATGCCACTTCCCTCAGCTTGTGACTTGTAAAATCAAATCAATAACAAACAGAAACTTTTCAGTCATTTCAATAATCGATGCCTTCCAGTCAGTTCAAATGTGGGGGGACAGTGGTTTACTTGAATACTGCCATTGTATATGCTGACAGGATTGTAGAATAACCAGAGTTTATTAAAGGTACCTGTTTTAAGGTTACCTTGTAGTACTGAAACATTTCTGTTAAAAGCTCTCAGCTGTCTGGAACAGCCATTGTAAGAAAAATTAAGAATTCACGTGACAGAAAAACTGCTTATTTTCTAAAAGATTCATTTTGGGTACAGTTTATGTAACAACTTCTTGTAAGCTTCAGTTGTGACCCTTCTTGAATAAAATAACCTTCTTCACTTGGCAGGAAATGGGAGAAAAAAGCCCTAAAGAAAATATAACTGCTCTTGCAAAGTTTTAGCATATTATGAATAACCGGAGAACATAACATTAACGTATCTACTTTTTTCCCCTCTTATAGCTGAAGTCTACATAGGAATTGGGAAGCCTGCTGAAGCCACAGCATGTATCCAGGAAGCAGCTAATCTCTTTCCAATGTCACATAATGTCCTCTACATGAGAGGTCAAGTGGCTGAACTTCGAGGAAATATTGATGAAGCCAAACGCTGGTATGAAGAGGCCTTATCTATCAGTCCTACCCATGTAAAAAGCATGCAGAGACTGGTAAGTCATGGGTTCAATGGATAAACATTATAACTTCAAGTTGAGCTATTCTATTTTGGGGACCTTATTGCTTTTATACTATGCTGTCCCAATTTTTAAGTGTTTATGACTCATTGAAATTTATATTTCACCTAAGTTGGTTAATTTCTTGGCTGACGTGCAGTTATTTGATTACTCTTAAAAAAATCAGTTGCTTATAAGATGAAGTTAAAGAAAGGGTAGTGGGTTTTGCCATTTTCATGTGAATTTTGCTCTTCTATCAAAAATGGCTTATTTTGCAGATTTATCTCACAATATAAATTACCTGTTTTGAGAAGAATGAAATAACTGAGTTTTACTACATCGGAATAGAGGCAACTGTACAGCAAGGCTACTCAGCCTTGAATCTCTTCTTGTTTCCCTTCATGTCTGTAGCTAGTTTGAGCTCGTTTTGTGCCTTTGCCTTTTTAATCTTGCCCCTGCATACCTGTATTCACTTATATTCATCCTTTGTAATTTGTCCTAGTTTCCACTTTTTATAGGACTCCTTTTTTATTTTTAGATCATGAAAGAGCTCCTGATTAAGCCAAGGTGGTCTTTTGCCATTCTTTCTATCTTTCCTACACAGCGGAATAACTTGCTTTTGGGCCCTTAATAATGTCCCTTTGAAAAACTGCCAACTCTCTTCAGTTTTTTTTCCTCTTAGTCTTGCTTCCCATGGGACCATACCTACCAGCTCTCTGAGTTTACCAGAATCTCTCTTCCTGAAATCCATTGTCTCTATTTTGCTGTTCTCCCTTCTACCATTCCTTAGAATCGTGAACTCTATGATTTTATGATCACTTTCACCTAAGCTGCCTTCCACTTTCAAATTCTCAACCAGTTCCTCCCTATTTGTTAAAATCAAATCTAGAAAAGCTTCCCCCCAGTAGCTTTTTCAACCTCTGAAATAAAAAGTTGTCTTCAATTCAGTCCAAGAACTTATTGGATAGTCTGTGCCCCGCTGTGTTAGTTTCCCAACATATGTCTGGATAGTTGAAGTCCCTCATCACCACCACCAAAACCTGTTTTCTCAATCACTTTTTTAGTTGTTTACAAAAAGCCTTGTCCACTCTTCCACCTGGGTAGGTGGCCTGTAGTAGACCCCTAACATGACATCACCCTTGTTTTTTACCCCTTTTAGCCTAACCCAGAGACTCTCAACACATCTGTCTCTTACGTCCATCTCCACCTCAGTCCAAGTGTATACATTTTTTAATATATAAGGCAACACCTCCTCCCTTTTTTCCCCACCTATTCTTCCTGAGTAAGCTGTACCCTTGTATACCAATATTCCAATTTGTGTGTATTATCCCCCCAAGTCTCTGTGATACCAATGATGTCAAAATTGTGTTTGTTTATTAGCACTTCATGTTCTTCCTGCTTATTACCCTGACTTCTTGTATTTGTATATAGGTATCTAAGACATTGATTTGATCTTGCCTCCCGGTTCTGCCCTATCCCTTCTTTTTCTCTGCTATTATAGCCCACACTCCCTCCCGTTTCCTACCTATCTCCCAGGTCTCCATGTTCTTCACTTATCTGTGGGCTATGGTCACCTGCCCCTGTCGAACCTAGTTTAAAGCCCTCCTCACTCGATTAGCCAGTCTGCATCCAAATACAGTCTTTCCCCTTCCTTGAAAGGTGAATCCCATCCCTGCTTCATGGTCCTTCCTGGAATAGCATCCCATGATCAAGAGCCGGGCATTCACCTCTAGGATACACCTGTCTCTGTCTGGGCCCCTATCTTTGACAGGAAGGATAGAAGAAAATACCACCTGCACTCCAGACTCTTTTACCGTACTCCCAGAGCCCTGTAGTTACTCTTGATCCACTCAGTGTCATACCTTGCACTATCATTAGTGCCCACATGGATGAGTAGCATGAGGTAGTAGTCAGAGGGCCAGATAATCTTGAACAGTGCCTCCATAATGTCTCAGATACAGGCCTCTGGCAAGCAGCATACCTCCTGAGATGATGTTTCAGGGTGACAGATGGGTGCCTCTGTCCCCCTCAGTAGAGGGTCTCCAACCATCACTACCCTACCTGCTCGCAGTGGTGGCAGCAGACCTCCCTTCTTTGGGAGTACGAGGCTTCGCCTCCTCAGCTGTAGGGGGTCATTCCTTATCTCCTATACCAAAAAGAGCATAACGGTTTCCCAATAGCATGGTGGGAGGGTTTGGAGCAGAAGTGGAGCACTGCCTGCTGCCACAAGTGACCAGCTGCCAGTGTCTCCCTGAGCCATCTTCTCCTCCACCAGTGGTGTGTCAGCAGGCTTGCGTAGTGGGACAGCTACCTCAGCTGTCTCCACATGAATACTGTCCAGGAACTGCTTGTGGATTTAGATGCTCCTCAGCCTACCTACCTCCTCCTGTAGTTCTCCTACCTGCTTCCTGAGAGATTCCACCAACAGACACCTTTCACATTGGATGGCCGTTCTGCCTGGATTGCAGTAAGTGGGAATTGCAAGCCACAGTCCCTGCAAAACCACACCAGGATCTGGGTAGAGATATCCATGGTCAGGTGGTCTGTCTGGCTACAGGCAGAGTCCAAGGAGACAGAAGCAGTGCTAGCACACATATTGTGGGTCTTCCTAACCAAGGTAGGCCTCCCTCTTTCAAACTCCCTCCTAAACTCCCCTGTCTGCAGCCCCCTGTCCATTTTGTTCCCCTGGTCTCTCTGCCTCTGGCTTTTAAAACCTGCTCGTCTAGGTCAGGCCCACCCCCTCATTAGTCACACAGGGGAAGGTTGATCCTGAGGCTGATCAAAAGCAATCAAGGGGACAAAGGATCAAACACTCCCAGACACACAATCCCAACTGCCACAGTAATTGAAACTGAAATCACCTGAAATCATATTCAAAATTCAAACAGTCAAGCAAATTCACTTACACCAAAAGCTAGTACTCTCACCTGGTAGCCTGTTCAGCGGTGGGATCTCTTGCTCTCCCTCTTAAACTCTCCTGTCTGCAGCCCCCTGTCCTCTTCACTAAAAGAGATGCACAGCTATTGTCTCCCCAGGTAACAATTATTTACATTATTTACAAAGGTGAATTTATTAAACATAAAAAGTAGGATTTAAGTGGTTGCAAGTAATAACAAATCAAAATAAATTACTAAGTTACATAAAACATGCCAGATAAGCCTAATAGTCTTAAGAAAATAATTTCATGCAATTCCTTCCCCAAACAGTAGTTCTAATAATCTTTTCACACAAGCTAGGCAGCCTCTTAGGTTAGGCACAGTTCCTCCCCCATTCAGTCTCTGGGTGGTAAGCAGCAGGTGTCTTGGTGTCTGGCAATTCCGTGTTTTTTAATTTCCTGTTCATAAATTGATTTTCCCCAAGGCGGGAATTCTTCGTGTTCAATTTCAACCCTTTCACATTCCCATGGAAAAGTACCGTATCCAGTATGGGTTCTAGCATCAGGTGACCTGCCCACCTGTCTTGGCAGGACCAACCACAGTCCATTTTTACAGAAAAAACAAGACTATTCACTGATCATTGACATGAGTACTGGGCCATTAAGTTCCTTGAGTACTAATAATAGTCTTCATTAATAAAACAGGTTAATACTTCATATTTCTGACTTCACGTACAGGAATGATATATACACACATAGAGAATATACAGATTCGGGGATTACAAGCTCTCCAGTAGGTTACATGTAACATTTTGTCTAAAGCATATTTGAGTTAGGCATATTCATATTCAGAAGCACATTTCCATAAAAATATGGAGATGCAATGTCACACAGATCTTTTAGAAAAATTTCCAGTCTTGACTTTAAAATTGTCAGTGATGGAGCGTCCATCATGACTCTTGGTAAATGTTAATTAATTGCTCACTTTTAAAAATTTCCACCTTTCTTTCTAGTTAGAATTTGTGTAGTTTCAACTTCCATCCATTCAGTCGTCATGTTATACGTCTCTCTGCTTGACTTAAATAGTTGTTCCCGACATAGATACTTACAAACCATTAACAGTTCACCCCCTACCCTTCTCTTCCTTATTTCTTCCCTAATACCTTCCAGTTTTAAACTGTAGACACCAGAAATAGACACAGTATTTGAGCAGCACTCTCACTAGAGCCAATTATAAAAGTAAAACATTCTCTGTATTTCTACTTGAGATTTCCCTGTTAATGCTGTCCTCAGATGGATAAGCTTTTTTGGCCCCAGCATTGCAATGGAAGCTCATGTTCAGCTGAGCATATCCTATGACCTTCACACTGTGTTCAGAGTCAGTGCTTCCCAAGGTATTTCCCCATCAGATAAAAATGGCCTACATTCTTTGATCCTAGATGTACATGTTTACATTTAGCTATATTAAAACATATTGATTGGTTGGGCCCAGTTTACCAAACTATGCAGATCACTGATATCCGTGACCTTTCCTTCATCATTTACATGTACCATTCTCCTGATATATTAAGACCTATCAGTTAGTAATTTTTTAATCTATGTAATGTGTGCTATGTTAATTATATATCTTTCTAGTTTTTTAATCAAACTGTCATGCAGTACTCAATCAGATGACTTAAGAAGTCTAAGGCCCTGTCTGCACTACTATTGGTGTCAGGAAAGCTTACATTGTGCAGTGGTGTGAAAAAAATCAGTAATACCCACTAGATCAAATTTATGTTTTATCTAGAACTCTGTATTGGTAAAAAAAATTAGCCATGTTTATCCTCATCCATATCTAGATGCAAATATCCGCAGATATAAAGTGCATATTCGCAAATTTGTAGGGTTCTAGAAACAAAATTTGTATCCGCATCCATATCCTCAAAAATGAACAACGGATATCCACATCTACATCTGTGAATGTGGATATTTGCTGATATAAAGTGGATATCCGTGGATTTGCAGAGCTCCGATCATATCAACCAAACATGTAATCTCATTTTTTTTGTAACTGTTAGTTTGATAGGATCTGTTTTCCACAAGCCAGATTTGATTGGAATTAATTATATTGCCATATTTC